GCTGGCGATTTTCCGGTTTCTTAAAGGGAAGGCAGGGCTACTGAGGATGGTTCTGGTTGGTGGGTGGGTGGGCAGAAGGGAAATTTTGCAAAAAAAAGGGAAAGCTTGGACCCTGGCCGGGTTGCTCAGTTGGTTAGAGCGTTGCCCCTATACACCAAGGGTGAGGGTTCAATCCCTGGTCAGGGCACATGGGAGAATCAACCAATGAAAACCAGCCAATGAATGCATAAGTAAGTGGGACAACAAACTGACATTTCTCTCTCTCTGCCCCCCCCCCCCCCCCCCCCCATTTTTTTTTTTTTTTTTTTTACTGGCTTGGGGGGGAAAAAAAAAGGAAAGCAGGTAGGGAATATATGTACATTAACACTCACACACATACACAGGTTCATATTTGCATATATATGAAACTATGAGTTTACACCAAAACTTCCAGTTCCAATATAATGTCACAGAAGTCATTCCAGTTTTCTCCCTTCATCAGGTGTAGCTCTTTTTCCTGACAACGAGAAATCTGGTTCCCATTATCCTTGCTTTCTATGTACTTAACTTTCAATTCCCCCATATGTAACCAATCGCCCATCGCTGGTGCTAGCCCCTTTCCTGTGCAGCTGCCCTCTTCATCCTACATTTTAGATTGGGCTGCTCTTCACTCAGGTTCCAATCTATGTCAGACTGCCTTCCCACAGGGACACCATGAAAAGGCTCCAACATGCAGTCACTCACTGCCCTCTCCCTGCTTCCTTTACCTCTGCCCAATGTGGGCACACTCCTCACCTTGGTTGGACTCTGACACTGCCCACCCACCTAATGGCTTTTGGTTTGAATTATTCAGGATGAGGAAGGGTTATGATTATTTTTAAACTAGAGGCTCAGTGCACGAAATTCGTGCATGGTAGGGTTCCTAGGCCGGGTTGGAGGTCAGGGCCGATCAGGGCCTTCTGGCTGCTGGCCAGGGCCTTCCTTTGTTCTGTGCCACCCCCTGGTGGTCAGTGCCCGTCATTGCTAGCGATTGAACTCCGGGTCTCCTGGTTGAACTCCTGAGGGGACACTTTGCACATTAGCCTTTTATATATATATAGGTTACTATTTAAGCTACTGTGGGAGGGGAGTAGCAAATATCGGAAAACTGGCTAGGAGACCATTGTAATGGACCAGGTGATAGATGATGAGCTTGGACTAGAGTGGTGTTAGTTCATGTACAGACAAATGAAGAGAACAGATAGGAGGTAATATGTATAGGATTTGGTGAGGAATTGGTCATCCTGGGGAACAGAAAGATATTTGAAAGCACATTCCTACTTCAGATACTTGACATCAGGAATGTCCACTTGGTTCAGGGAAATCAAAGCCTTGCCAGCCTCAGTATAATAATTCAAAACTTGATACACTGCATGAAATATGTTACAACAAAGGGACTTCTTTGTTTCATTTTTAGTTCCAGCTGGAGAATTGCTACTCATCTTTCCAGACCCAGTTCATGTTTTTTTCTGAAAATGATTTTCTGTAAGCCATTCAAAAGATTTGATCACACCATTTTCTATTATCGCATTTATCTACCATAATATAATTACATTTCATTGGTTTGTCTACTATAATGAATTCTTTGAGATTAGGAATAATTTTTTTTTTTTTTGCTTTGCAATACTCTAAATATTGGGTGCATTAAAGATCTGCTTCAAAGTACAATGATACAATGAGACCTTATTTTCTGTTATTATAATTTGGGCTATTTCAAACAAACACATTCCTCTGAAGACTTCTGGTCAAGATGGTGATGCAGGTAAATGTGGTACTCGCATCCTCCCACAATCACATCAAAATTTAAACTACAGAACAACCATCATTCAGAACCACCTGAAACCTTGCTGAATGGAAGTCCTACGCTAGGGAATTAAGGAAGAAGCCATATCAAGACTGGTGTGTGTGTGTGTGTGTGTGTGTAGGGGAGGCAGAGATGCAGAACGTGCTGGTCCCACACCCATGTGTGCAGATAAAAATCAGGAGGGATTTTTGTCTTCCTCAGCCCCACACCAGGCCCCCCATCCAGGGTTCCAGTGCTAGGAAGAGAAGTCCCCACAACTTCTGGCTCTAAAAACCATTGAGGCTGAGGAAGACAGAGAGCTGCTGGAGTCCCAGTCACTCTGACTCCCTCCCTCTGAGTTCCAGCACAGGGGCAGCAGTTTGAAAAGCACCAGAGGCATGTGGGGAGGAATTGAATTGTCCTGTGCTGGCAGAGGCCATTGTCCCTTTGATGAAACCTGTCTACCCCACTATCCTCCCCCGCTGCACCCCCCCCCTCCCCCCAGTAGAATTTTATTTACTTTTCCATCAATGCCTAGTTAGGGCAGTGCTTGGCGTCTATTCAATACATGCATTACAATAAACTGAAGACTCAGTATTTATTATATGCAGAGAGGAAAGAATAGTTCTTTGTTCCTAAAAGTCCTTATTGTCTGGCCTTGGGGGAGGACGTGGAGAACACACCCATTCACATGTAGAAATATACAGTAATATGTTGAATGAGTGATTTAAACAATATATTTCACGGGGACTCAATTTTGAGCTGAAGTGCTCAAAGTAGAATGAAAGAACATTATGGGTGTTTCTAAATAAAGAATTGCTTAACAGACGTGGAATTTTAGAACCAGGTAGAAACTTTAAATTCCTTAAACTCATAGGGGAGGAAACAGGTCCAGGAAAGTTGATGAGTATGACTTGCCTAAAGACACTCAAATCTAAATGGTTGAAATGGAATATAACCTGTTTTCTGTTTTCTTAGCCAGTGTGAGATGATAATGAGAATCATAATAAGTGATACTTACATATATTCCCAGGTATTATATCAAGCATGTTACTTATCTTAACATATTTACTTGTCATAACAACTCTATGAACTAAGTGCATTTATTATGTCAGTTTTAGAGATGAGAAAACTGAGGCTAAGAATGGTTAAGCTACTAGCCCAACATTGCAGTTAGTAATGGTAGAAGTTGGATTCCAACCTGGGCAGATGTGGAGTCCATAAGGAAACGCCACAATCAGTTCATTGAAGTACTTTTATTATTTTTATTTTTTAAATTTTTATTGGTTTTTTACAGAGAGGAAGGGAGAGGGATAAAGAGTTAGAAACATTGATGAGAGAGAAACATCTATCAGCTGCCTCCTGCACACCCACCACTGGGGATGTGCCCGCAACCCAGGTACACCTTGACTAGATCAAACCTGGGACCCCTCAGTCCCCAGGCCGATGCTCTATCCACTGAACCAAATGGATCAGGGCCATTGAAGTACTTTTTGATAGCATTTATTTAAGCTAAGTAAGGTGTTATTGTCACAGAGTTTT